CGGCGCGGCACGGCCTGGTTCCGCGCTCGGCCATTGTCGTGCCGGTCTCACGTGTCAGAGCGATGCTCAGAGCCGTCTCTTTCATTGCGGGCAGCTGCCTCGATTCAGAGGTAAACAGGCAAATCGCGTGTATCTGTGCTGAAGCGCGGAGGCTGCAGCGCCGGGGTGAAGCCCTCTCAGTTTTCAGGAAAGATTTCCCACATGGTCTCGTCTACCAATCACAACCGAAAGGACCAAATTCATCCTGGCTGCATTTCACATATACTCAATGGAGTTATAGAATTCAGGGATAAATCTGGCCCTTTGTGGTGGATGCCTAAGGATATTTCAAGAGAGATCCCAGAGGTATGACTGTTAGCCGTGTTTTGAGTAACTGTATTCTGCGGCATCTGGCAAACCTGCCCTGTAGATCGGAAGTTTGTGCCAGGAGCGAACTTTGTTATGCATTAATTTTTTGTTAAGTGCTCTGAGTAATCACCAGGCTACTGCTACCTTTGATCTGTGGCTTGCCGTTACTTTCTCTGTTGTCCGTTTTTGTAAATTGTAACCATAAAGTGTTGCCAAGTGAGAGGCTCGGGCTCGTATTAATGACATAAGCGCCAAAGTGTCTGAAGACCCATTTGGCAATGAAACTGGACAAACCTTATTAAACCTATCAGTGATTTAAAGCTTCAAAAAGAAGGTAATGACTTGAATACACATTTCACTCATCATTCTTGAGATAGTGGACCAGATTTAATTTAAAAGTTAAATGCTTTGGAAAATCAGGAATTACTTTAATATATTAAATCATTTTCCAATTAAGTTCCTTAAATCATTTCTGGTGGGTTGCACTGCAAATCGAATAAATTAATTTAGAAAGTCGTTTTCAGAATTTCTTTACTAGCTGGTTAAGGCTTCTTTTAAGTCATGCCATGTATGAGGGAGCAAACTGTTCTTTTTAAATGCAAATGAGACACTTATTCTGTAGACAAGTTGCAACTCTTCTATTTCACTTTGCCTGAACTGATAATGTGCTTAAAAGTGCACAGTCATAAGACATATGTTTTATGCTTGGAAAAGACTTACCAGGAATGTTTCAATATAAGACACCGAGTATAGGACGAATGTCTTTTTCGGACGTCTTTGCCACTGACCAGTGATTGCGTTAAATGGACAGAGTAGCTTTGCCAGGCCCCTTGGAGGCGTACATTTACTGAACATTTCATTTTTCACCCCCTTCACTCTCTCACTTCGCCCAGCATGATTAACATTGCTGTGAAAACTTATCTGACTTGTTCTAAACATGTCGTCATGTTACAGTATTGCTCTGTCACTCATTTTTGTGCTGTGTGTGTTTAGGGAGTTTGAAGGGCGGGAGGCCTACAGAATTTTGTGTTCAGTAACTTTGGTGAAGTGTTTGCTTTTGATCTCTCCCAGGGAAGGAGATGATGGCTGGAGTGTGATGGATCCGTGTTCTGGGTTGGAATTGTGGTCTTCATTAGGCCTTTACCTGCAAAGCTCATTCAGAACTGGATCTTGTTTCCTGTAAAGTTAGTTAAAACTTGCTTTGGGCACTTAATAGTGGATTTGGGCCTTGTTTTCATACTTGCGTTTTGTGGGTTTTTGTTTTGTTTTGTTTTTTTCACAAATACGGAAGACTGATTCTTTACATTTTAAGTCTGCTTGAGCTGCTGGTAATTCAGAATGTATTCTGCAAATACTTACGCTTTTAAGTTTTCTAATTGATCTGCTAGCACAAGTTTTTTCCTGATCAAATGATTGTTCATAGTGTATGAGTGAGTCCCCAGGCACATGCACGGGAGGTATTGACAGTGCATTTTTCTGTAGCCAAAGGAAAATGCAATAATGTAGATTCAAACAGTCGCTTCTTATCTTACAGTTTTCAGTTGGCAGGCTTTGTTTCAGAAGACTGCTTAGATCTTTATTTTATAAAGCTAAAATAGCATTCAAAGCATCTTAGTCTAATATTTCTCTATCTGCTGTGAAAGCTCATTATACTCTGCATATATTGTTATGCAGGCTTTTCCTTGTTTCTCTCGCATTACCCACGGAGAGAGAAAAGTGAAAGAACAATGCAAACAATGTTGGTTATGACAACTGTGTGAGGTATCTCTTATACAAACAGACAGAATGGACGGTATGCTGTGGTATATAGGTCAGCCTTTGAAATAACATAGTGGAGCTCTTACGCCGGACGGGCAGATTTAGAGTTGGGGTTGTACTGTTTGCCTTTTGAAACTTGAAGCATAATTGCATTTCAGACATTTACAGGCTAATATGAGTAGTCTGTTCAGTTGAAGTTTATTTTGGGAAACATCATGTTCCTTAATTGAATGCTACAAAAGAAATAATGTTGATAATCTGAGTGTCTTAATTTGATAGAAGAATATGGTCAGGGATTTCAAGCTGCTTGAAGAAGTTGGATGGCAAGTTTAAATGTTTATGTAGAGAGCAATAAATAACATCCTGGTGGCTTTCCATATTGAAGTGTCACCTCCGAAGACCGCTTTGATCAGTACTGTAAGAAGGATTGGTATATTTTCATACTTGCAACTTTACAGTGTTTTCAGATATCTGCTCACATAAAGTGCAGTTATGTAATTATAGTTTGACACAGCTAATGGCAGGGATGCTGACCCCTGCCAACAGCAGGGAGAAAATAATGGTCTTTACAGCTCCCAGTGGTTAGGCTTGCAGAATTATGCACTAGATTCTTCTGTGATTTGCTACCTGGTTCAAAAATACAGGAGCCTACAACTCATCTTTCTTGTATTCAGTGGTAGTTGTCAGTGCAGTGGAAAAATACAGCCAGACAGCAGAGGTAGAATGATAGACTGTAGTTGTTTTTAAAAAGAGGAATACAGAGAGAAAAAAGAGAGAGAGGGAAGCAAAACCCTTCAAAATGAAAACAGCGGTGTGACATTGGGTAGAAGTGGATAAGGAGATATAATGCAGTGCTTTGTAAGCAGGTAACAATCCCGCTCATAATCAGAATTCCACGGAGCAAAAGTGCATATATTTATACACAGTGTTTAAAATAATTTATTGTGTAAGCTTAACCCCACCATAGAGACTACTCTAAGTAAAATGTTCCATGGCTGTTTACAAAGTGTACATTATTTCCAGTGGCTTGCTTCTATCCACTCTCTATCTGAAGCTCAGAAACAGAATTGTGGAAGGCCAGGGCTGTGAAGGACAGCTCTAAAGCTGAAATGCTGTGTTAGTGTTTTGGCAGAATTTTAGATTATGCTCATCTAATAGATCACCATTTGTTTATTCTGGGCATATTTTTTTTTTCCTTAGACAACTAACTACCTTGTCCCCTACTGCCTTGGAATCATACTTTAAATTTGTTGGTTCCTCCTACAGAAAAGATTAAACAGTTACATTAGTATTGGCTGTTGATTTTTAAGTGTTAAGTGTTTTAGTTAGTTTCAAAATATACCACATAGGAAAAAGGGAAATGGACTTTTTTCTTGGGTTCCTAGACCTTAGAATGTAGTCTCAGAGTTACAAGCAAGCCTGAGGTGTGCCTCCTTAAATTCCAGTGTTTCAGAAAAGAAGCGGTCCCAATTTTAGTGGAATACAGAAAATGATTTATGTTTGTGCTTTTGAGAAATCTTTCTCAAAGATGTTTTATAAACCAAAGGACTCACAGTCATTCTTTTTTTTTTTTTTTTTTCTTTCTGCCAAACATCAGTTCCTTGAGAGAAATTATGTTTTAGTCTCTTACCAGAGTGATACGTTTCATCTCTAAGGCATTACCTTCAATCAGCCTATCATGAGGTCTTCTGAAAAAA